AAACTGGAATGCGGCGCTCCGGGCGGCCCCCCCGCCTCCCTGCCGGGTCTTGGGGGTCTGGGAGCTGGGGAGGCCCCACGGAAGCCGGGGAGGGGCTGACCCGGGCCCCTCCTGTGCCCCTGGCCGCTGAGGCCTTTCCCGGGTGGGCACACTGCAGATGGTCGGCGCCGAGGGGATTGGAGGTGGTGTCACCTGCTGCAGTCGGGTCGCTGAAGAGTTGTGATCTCAAGAATAAGCTTTTTGTGTCTCTAGGTAAGTTTTATTTCAAACCGGACCATTTAGCAGGTCGTGGTTCTTTCATAATATGGGCCTTGGGTCACGGCTTGTAGCTCTCCCAGTGACTCTTTGAATGAGGCTTTTTGCATCTTTCAAATGGCCTGATTAACTCAGTAGTAATGGTTCAGAGCGTGATTTGAATGCTGTTGTGATGAGAGAGTTTGTTGCAAATTCCTGATTTTCCTTCTCCTTGCTCGTTTCAGGACTTCCCTATTCTGTGCCAGACATGTCTTGGAGAAAACCCGTATATTCGAATGGTAGGTGCCTGTTTGACCGCACGGTCCTTTCCTCTGTGCTGGCCCTAGAACTGCTGGGTTTTAGGGATTAAAATAAGCCTGGCTAGAGGAGTAGATGCTGAGGTGCACGTGCACTCCTAATTAGTTGGTTCTGCCCAATAGGATTTGGTTCTGGCCATTGTTTGTATGTGATGTCATGGCATTAGGTATGTGATTTGAGATTAAATCAGTCAAAAAAGGAGAGCAAGGTGAGTCCGATGCCTGGAGCGCAGGAAATACTAGAAAACAAAGTTTTGGTACTGATAGATAGTGTGACATGGAGAATAGGGAAACAGCTGCTGAAATATTAAATAGCTTAGCACAATTTCTAAAGCATGCAGGATATGCGTCTGTGAAAATAAGTTCAAACCATCTCATGAAGGCTGCCTGATGGTGGTTTAAATCCTGGTTTGTTTACCTGGGTTTCCTCTGTGCAGGATGAGTCAGTCCATTTATGCTGCTTTTCTCTGCGCTCAGCCTGGTTGCGTATGAACTTACATTTATGGTGTCTTTCCCTCACGTTTTCATTCCACCAAGTTTGCTGGGGGAGATTAAGATATTTTTGTGAAACGTAACTCTACTGCCGGTATAAGTGGTATTTCAAAAACTGCTTATTATCCTGTATTTATTTCATGTAACGGTATCATCTTGGCTGAAAATTAATGTTCTGTTTCATTCTCACCTTTCATTGGTACATGAGGTGGGGCGTATAATACATTTTAATGACTGTTTCTAAAACAAAAATGGATTGAGAGATTTTTAGGATTTTTTTTGTCCTGTTGACCTGCCAAGGTATAAGCCCAGAATGTAGGGGTGGGTGAGTCTAAATGGAGCATAATTGGAAAAAAACCCGCTGTTCTATGACATCAATTGTATATTTTGTGTTTTATGTTGAATTAATGATATTTCATATTTTCTTTTATCATTTTTTATTATATTTCAGACTAAAGAAAAATATGGAAAAGAATGCAAGGTACGTTTGTTTTCTTTTGAAGAACAAAGACCTGAATTGGCACACATCTAGGAATATTAAATTTTAATGTTAAAAAAAATCCTGTTGGTTTCAGAAAATTGCTTATCTGGGTTAACTTAAAATGTTTATGTAACTGCATACATTTTTAGGTCACTCTACTGTGGGCTTTGTGTTTAACAAAGTCAGTTACTCTTAAAGTAGTAGAATTATTGAAGGCTGTTCAGGCAGACTTAGGATTTGCTCATGTTTATCAGAATTTGGTTTTACTAATATTGTACTATATTTGATGGTATTTCAGCATTTAAAATTATATCATATTTTGTCTTCCACTTTTGTTTTTACTCATAGGCAGTACATAAATAAATGGAGTTTAGGTTTTGCTATGAGTATGTTATTCCTGGCAAGGTGGTGGTTTTTGTTGGCTGTCTAAGCAATAAGCCACATTTATTTCTGAAAGCAAAAAATATTTAGTGTTGTCTCGACTGAGGGAAACGCGAGAGGCTCTTTGCCCCTTTTATCAGTTGTCATCTGAGGTAGGGAGAAGGTTCGTGGTGGAATCTTGCTTCCCTTCCTCAAACCCTACGTGTAGCAGAAGCAGATGCATCAGAAGCAGATGCATCATTCCACTCCGTAAGATAGAGGTCAGGAGTCTTCTTTTATCTCTAATAGCTCTTTACTGACATCTCCTGGAAGGAGGGAGAATTTCTTTTCTCTTTGAGTAGATCTGCTTTCAGCATTTGGGTTATTGTAATAAATCAAAAAAACAACAAGAAAAAAACTTCCTAAACCTTTCTCCTGTCGAGAATATTTCTTGAGGTCTGAATCTTAGTACTGAAATGAAGAAAGTGTATTTACAGTTTAAAGAGATTAGTTGTGTTTGGACTTTAGGTTTCCATGCAAGAACCAGAATGGTAACTTGATTGCTGTGTGATAGTGATTCAAGTGCTGACTTTCTGTCTTTCAGATTTGTGCCAGGCCTTTCACAGTGTTCCGCTGGTGCCCTGGTGTTCGTATGCGTTTCAAGAAAACAGAAGTATGCCAGACGTGCAGCAAGCTGAAGAACGTCTGTCAAACCTGTCTGCTTGACCTGGAATATGGTATGTACCAGAAAAAGTAAACTGAGAGAAGAAGCTGGTCTGCTTGCTTCTGAAATGAAAGTTGGTGAAATGTCTTTAAATGTGGGCATGTAATTGGCATCTCTGCACAGTCTTTGAGAAGGAGTCATCTTGATGATCACACCTCTGCTGAGGTTCAGGGGCAGCATGGAATACCTGAGCAGTAGATGAGTTATCTCTGGCTCACAAAGGTTGCAATAACTATTTCAATTTCTACTTCATATTGATTTGTTGAGTTTTTTGTTTTGTTTTGTTTCATTCAAGGTTTGCCTATTCAAGTCCGGGATGCAGGGCTCTCCCTTAAGGATGAAATGCCGAAGTCTGACGTTAATAAAGAGTACTACACGCAGAATATGGAGCGAGAGGTAAGGACGTGTGGTTGTAATCACGCTTCTCTCTGTGTGGATGTGTACAGGGGAGGAAAGGGGAGGAATGACCTAGTTCATCTTAAAACCATTTTCTTGCTCTGATACTGTGCATTAGTTTTCAACGGTGATATATACACAATTATTTGTGTTCTAACTACTGTTTAGATATCCAATTCCGATGGCACTAGACCAGTGGGTGCACTAGGAAAAGCTACGTCTACCAGCGACATGCTGCTGAAGCTGGCTCGGACCACTCCTTACTATAAACGAAATCGTCCTCACATCTGCTCCTTCTGGGTAAAAGGAGAATGCAAGAGAGGAGAAGAGTGTCCCTACAGGTACAAATACAGCTTAAACCACTAATCCGTTCACCACGTTCAGATACGGCTCCCTGTAGGGTTTGAAGAACAGGAAATGCTGCAGGGGACAGGAGATGCAATGCTGTGGATGGGGTCAGTGCAAAACTTGCATTCAGTTGGCACGCGGTGCCCGTGAATGGATCTTTGTTGTGGCAAGTTCACTAGTGAGGAATTGGCTGCGTGGTCTTGTAGTGTTTTGCCGAAGCAGTGACTGCAGCTCTTCTCTTGCGTAGTTCATTTTTTCCCTTCGTGGTGTCAGTCCCCTTAATCAGAGATCTTTGTGTTTAAACAAGAGGCCATTTGACATCCAGCTCTTGTATTTTGTAGTGTTGAATGCTGAGCTGTCAGAAGTGCCATTCATTCAGAGCTCGAGGCAGTCCTGGCTGCAATTTTAAGTTCTCAGGGCTTTTTGTTCCATTTTGGCGTGTTTATGTGACCAGGGTTAAGCATATAAGTGACTGGGGGCATTTAGAAGGGAAGGTAGCAGCTATAGTCATTTTCATCTGATGCACCTGTGACCCGTGTTATGAAATGCTTTGTTTTCTGAACCTTAGACATGAGAAACCTACAGATCCAGATGATCCTCTGGCTGATCAGAACATCAAAGATCGTTACTATGGAATTAACGATCCTGTGGCTGATAAACTTCTGAAACGAGCATCAACCATGCCTCGTCTAGACCCCCCTGATGACAAGACTATTACTACGCTGTATGTTGGAGGGCTTGGAGATACTATCACTGAATCGGATCTCAGGTGTGTTGGTGAATTTGTA